ATACTGTAAAAGCATTCATTTTTGTGGGGCTATTATTTTTGCTGATTTTCTTCAGCCTAATCCAGAGACTGATCTGTCCATGAATCAATATCTTATTTTAGATATGACATGCAGTTTGGTATTGATGAATTTGGTGAGTAACATTTATCCTCAAAAGTAAAAGCACATGACTGGTAATGAGCTCAACTCCACCTAATGCAGCTCAAGTAGAAATGTTGACAAATCCTGCATCATCTTTCTGTATGAATGACTTTGCCCTTTTTTAGTTCAAGCCCAAAGATTTATATTACGCACTGATCCCTTGCACTGATCTATGCATGAATAAGGAAATTAATTCATTAATGTTCCGAATCATCTGTGAAAACTTGTTGGTTGGTGGGATGGCACTACGGTAACAAACTGGCTTTTCACCTAGCCGTCCGGGGTTCAATTCCCAGACCGGATGTGAAAAGGTAAGGGGTCACCTGCCAGACAACGCGGGTTTTCCCTGGGTACCCTGATTTCCTTCCACAGTAAGACCCTCTCTTGGAACACTTACATCCGGGCCAACAAGAGTGATTAACATAAGCTGATAGCTTGTTTCGCAATTGTTGTAAAATAAATAAGGTTTATGATTAAAAACCTGTTGATCATTATGAATGAATGATTTTAAAATATCTTAATTAAATATCATGATTGAGTTTATCAAAATAATACCAATTGTACAACTGTTCAAAACTGACATGACTCAACAGATTTCAGAATTTTAAAGATTTATGAACAATTGCACTATAACCTGGAAAGCTAATCGCAGGTTGTAGGTATGATGACATCAATAACTTATTCAATACCTACATTGTAATGGAGAATCATGTCTGATTTTTACACACTAAATTTGCCGAGAGACAGAGAAATACCACGTAATTAATACCTATTTGTACATATGATTCAAAGAATTTTTCCGAAAGAAAACTGTCAAAATGAAGTATTGAGTAAATTTTAACTGAAGTAATTAAATAATTAAGTGAGATTTGACTGTCCTTGAGGAAGACTCTAGAATGTACCTACAGGCTAGAGAAGCCTACACTACATATATATATATATATATATATATAAGCTGTCAATGACCTGTCTAGTTAATTCAAATATATCACCTATAACATGTAGATATATGTCAGACTGTTGGGATATTAAGCCAAGCCTGAACAGACTGTGTGACAAGCTGGCTGTCAAGTAAATCTTTCACTTAAGTCTGGTATAGAGGTTCCGTAGATACAAACCAAATTAATTCACAATACAGTGACATTTGTCAGCCAAACCCAGGGCATAGTTTTCTCCCATTCATCCTCCTCACAACTGTCACTCCATTACACTGACACAACTTTAATGTTACCAGATCATGACCAATTCATCGTCAGTTTACAGAGGTTAAAGAAATAAGGTTACTATACTATACAAAAAATGTGAACAGAAATACTTCACTTGAAAGAAAGTTCTCTGATACTTAAAACAGTAAACAATATTTATAATTATCTAGATTGTGTCAATATTGTCATTCAAACATAATAATAAAAAGTATGATTTGGGATAAATATAGCTACCAGTACACTGACACAAGGTAAAAACTACAAACTCTTACATTTGCAGGGCTCTCGATCTGCCAGATTTGGGGCCGAATATTCCCAATGCAAAATAGTATCTTTTTTTCCCAATTTAGACCCCAAGTTTTCCCTATGTTTTCCCAATTCTAAGTGCCCCGGGCCCCAGTCCCAAAATGGGGTGTAAGAGCCCTGAAGGTCTGTCTGAATGGGAGTTGGAAGCATTAATTACATAGAACTTAACTTGCTATAACAATAGGTCAGATATCAGGGCACATTATTCAAATTAATGTCCAAGCTTTTATTCAATGATAGTGAAAAAACGGAGCCCCCCAAAATTCAGAACTTTACATTAACTGCTTAAGTGAAATTATTTTCAGGGCAAACACCTTCTGGTTGAAGGGTCAAAGGTTATACAGAAACATATTAAAATCCAATTTGTGGGTAATGGAAATGTTGTACCTGTATGTCAGTCATTCTGAACTGATATCAAAAACTTGCAGACTTACAAATATCACATCACACATCCCACAGCAGTGATTCAAATCACTGTATGAGGTAAATAATTCAGTATTATACTGCAGAGGCCTGATCTTGATTATTGAGTACAAAGCTGTCGACCACAGTCCCACCTGAGAATGTACCCCCTAGGCTGCTGAGAAAGGTATAATCACTGACTACAGTGATAACCTGAGGTTACACAAAGTCAACAAGAGTGTATTTCAGATAACCACTGTACAATTTGATTTCTTACGCTAAATATTTTAATTATAACAATATATTGTAGAAGGCCATTGTCAATGTAACATGTAATTGTTGTTTTACCAAGATGATGCCACGAAAAATTACCAAATTTTCTGGAAGAAATATCACAAAACCTTTGAAAAATCAGATATCAAGACCTGTATAGTCTGGAAACTGTGAGACTGTTATGTGTAAATCTATAGTCTGGAAACTGTGAGACTATCATGTATAAAACTAAATCTTTTGTACACTGATGTGTGGGATACAAGGGCATAAATCATTTAATACACTTCCTTGTTGTAAAGACATGATGAACTTCACACTCATTTCTTGTAAATGGCAAACACAGGTAACATAAATGAAACAGGCTACTTCCTACTTTGTGACAAGCAAGACATTTATCAAATTTACATTATCATAGAACTACTTTCTTTGTTAAAAAATTGTCTTTTCATTTTCTCCAACATTTTTCACAAATTGTATTTTATATCTAGCAATATGCACACCCAATGTATGGCTTTTCGTGAAGTCCCGTTAAAATACCTCATTCCGTTACTTTGAGGAAGGGCATGTATTCATCTCTAGACTTATGGCATTATCAATACATTAGACGTTATTTGGTGGCCAAACAAATCCACAATATACAACCTCCTTTCTTAGGTTTTTTCCCATCAAGTTTTTAATATGATTCAACGAGAAATGTGTAGCAGGAGCGTCCAAGTGAAAAAAGGCGTAAAAAATTGACAATTTCATCTGATCCAACCACAGGTAACAATGTCTCCTACAATAGAATTACATACACTTCAGAAACCAAGAAAAGTTAAATATTTTTATTAAAACCAGGTAACGTTGATCAGAAACATTACTTAACTGTTAACTTTGTAGAGTCTGATATTTATATCACTTGGAAAACTAGTACCATATTTCAACAAGATGACACTACATACAATCTGGAAAAACCATCAACATATTTCATTTGAAAAAGACTGTGAGAGTGTAGATCTATTACGATATAGTTTTATACAGCTGAAGCCTTCCAGACATTCCCTGTAATACCATATTCTGACAAAATTAATTCTAAGAGTTATTTCAATACACACAGGCTCATTTCATACTTCTCGTGAATATGTTCTGCGAGTCATTAATTACTATACATAATTTCCATACAGGAGAGAAGTTACACGTCACCTGAATGTCCTTGTATACAATAGTCTACTGTGACTTTATGACTTTGACAACTATACGTCAGAATTAATTGCGCATGCAGGAAGACACTGACACCACATGTAATACGTTTGTCCTGGTTTATGTTCCTTTCCTAAAACAATTCTAAAATTGAAGAATTATCTTGAATTTAGACTTAGTGCATATCAATTCAGTTTGACCCAAACAAATACTTTAATTTACCAAACTTTATTTCTTAAATGAAATGATAAGCTAGAAAATATGATGTATAAAACTAGAAAGACCCTAATTCAAACTAACTTTCAAAATATACAATATGAAGACACTGTCAATTTGTAACATGGAGACCTAAATAACTGAAATAAACATTTCATTTCATTTGAAATAAATATTTCAATCAAAATATAAAATATTTAAAATGTGAAGAGAAAATGGACTTCATCCTGAAATAATGTTTATTCAAGGTCAAGAAGAAAACTAGGCAGCAAATCACAAAAAATAAAGAACTTTGATTTTAAAACAGAAACCGATTACTCTAAGTTTCCTAACTCACCCTGTGATCGGCTTCAGCACTCTTTTCTTCGGCTGTAGTAGCTTCAGGTATACAAGTTTCCCCCGTCATATTTAACATCACACCACAAGAGCAGAAAACAATTTCTCTCACAGAGTGACAAAACGGAAATAACCCCTAACAGGCAACTTATAACATCCTTTAGTCCTGAAAACCTCGCAATGACTTGATTACACCTGTCATCATTCATGAATTATTCTACAATATTACCATACTAAAACAATTAATATGAGGTTTTTTTTATACATAGTAGCTTAACTTCATCTAGGAGAACAATATCACACAAGTGCATGATGTTTCCCAGTGGTAAAACAGTAATCAGGGATGAGGATTGAATTTAACATTGGCTTAATTTGACACGAAAATTATATTTCAAAACTAAATAATGAGATTTTTTTTCCTGATTATAACAAAATATTACTTCTTCACAACACGGAAATTAACAGATTTAAAGGTAAGAAGAAAAAAAACAATTAAACATTAAACAGAATGACTTAATTTTTTTTTCCAGAATATAACTGAAATATGTTTTTAGCATTTTTGAATGAGTATATGATTTCACTATGAATTGCAGTAACCATCTACTTGGTAACTATCTCTACTTTTGTGTTAATCATACAACTACATATGACACTGTACTTGGTTTGTTCTAGAGGTTGGCAGACAATGCCTGGCAACTATTTTCTTTATCAAATATTTATCTTAAAAGCTGCTTGATATATGATAATTGCTAGTAGTTTTGACATATTTCACAAATCAAACAGCATATTCATGTTCAGAAATCTCAAAAGTAGTAGGAAATGTCTTTTGAACTTACAAACGGATTGATTACATTTGTATCTAATTTCATTTTTCATTCAGATTTATGTAAAAAAAAACAAACCTTCATCAAAAATCATACCAATATTTTTTTCTCGTTGCAGTTTAAAAGTACGATAACTGAATCCCAAGCGAGGAAAAATTTACAAATGTATGGAAAAAATCTCAAAATACATCCAAAGGTTGGCAAAACGCCTCAGTTCAGGTGAGATATGTTCGAGATACCACATTTAAGTTATACAAGTATAGTTAAATGTCATTAACAATTGCTGCTTAGTGCCTTCAAGTGTTGGCATGTATTCAAACGGCATTTTCTCCATTTCTAGATTAAGCCTTCATAGATATAAATACATGTATATGACTTTTAATTAACTTCATGATAAAACACAGGTGAAAATCTCTGGCATGTGTTTTATTCCGTGGATATTTATAAAACCCAGCATCAAGGTAGTTTTGTTATAAATATAGAAAGTTATAGTTCATGTAAATATATATTTCTTTATGCCGTTTCTAAAGAATTCTCATATTACTCTATAAAACTGAAATCAGAGATGGCTGATGAAAGAGTTAATCTCTTTTATTTTAAAAAGATAATCTTCGATGAAATCAGTTCTATAGATACAAACATTTCGAAAGTTATAGGAATAAGAAATAAAAATTAAAATTAATTCTGTTATCAATTCTGGATCTAGTCAAAATCCTGTCGGTCTAAGCCCTTAGAAAAATCTTGTATATACACTGAAGTTTCGCATAAAAAAAAAACAAAAATCTACCCCATTGTTCATATGTTATGTAACAAAGCAACCTGTATCTTTCGTTGTTCAGTAGATTTACAAACAAATGTAATACACTAACTCACTGACTGTGAGCCAGAATATGAATGTTTGCTATCGGCTAGGGCTAAGTACAGGATAACTACGGTATCTAACAAATTCAGTCTTTCTGTCACTGGCTAGGGCTAAGTACAGGATAACTACGGTATCTATCAAATTCAGTCTTTCTGTCACTGGCTAGGGCTAAGTACAGGATAACTACGGTATCTAACAAATTCAGTCTTTATGTCACTGGCTAGGGCTAAGTACAGGATAACTACGGTATCTATCAAATTCAGTCTTTCTGTCACTGGCTAGGGCTTAGAACAGGATAGCAACGGTATCTATCAAATTCAGTCTTTCTGTTACTGGCTAGGGCTTAGTACAGGATAACTACAGTACCTAACAAATTCAGTCTTTCTGTTACTGGCTAGGGCTTAGTACAGGATAACTACAGTACCTAACAAATTCAGTCTTTATGTCTCTAGCTAGGGCTTACTACAAGATAATTACGGTAGCCCATTCTTTCTGCTGTAACTTTGAAACATTAGTAACTCTACCTGGAATAAGTGAAGGAGAGGGTATGTGGTAAAACACCCTGTTCATAAAGGTCTAATCTCCAGTTGATGAACCTTCTGTAGTTGTACTATGTAGTATAAGAGTATTCACCAATAGCTCTACAGCCTACATAGATCAATAGAGTGGAATACTGGCTTTCTACCACATACTAAAGACCCGAGGGATCCAGTAGTGAGGGTTGTGTTTAAGCCTAAGGATCCTCGAGACTGCTAATTTTACCGATTTACAATTTTGACCCTACACATATGTAGAGTTGATTTATCATACATGATAGTGTGAGAAATAAGGTACCTTAAATTGAGTTCATCAGGGAAGGCAGAGGACATCAGCTGGTGTCAAGTCAAACAACACAACAGGGATATAAAAGATGATGGGATGGCAATTTGGAGGTTTATGACATTAGTTCAAAGTAATTGTTACAATACAAAATTACTATAGAAAAAAGTAGAGATGTTCTTTAGAGACCAAGGAATTACGTGCAAGTAGAAAAATATATTGTAAAAAGTCACTTTGCTAAATTGTTTATGTAAAAACAAGATTTTTAAATCTCATTTTTCTTTAATTTTTTTACCTGCATTAATCCTTGTTTCAATTTTATATCCTACATGACAATGTCTGTTATTAGACAACGATTTTGATCTTCTAACAATGCTATCTATATCAACCAGAGCACTAGGGGTAAAGTGGCAAAGACTCAACCATGTCATCACCTGGGCTTATTACAGAATACAATGAAGTACTAAAGTAATAAGTCCATTCCATTTTAGATGTCAAAGGTTATGAGCTGACCCCTGGCCTTATTGCAGAATAAATAAGATGAAGTACGAATCAATGTGCTGTAATGGATAAATATGGTAATATATAACTGGTCTTTAGTGTGAAATTCACCTCAGGGATTATATGTTTAAATCGTAATTACTAAATTCACTCTGAAAGCTCTATAAAGCTTTAATGAAAAGCTGGTTTAGAAATCTGAATACTGGCTGTGTACATCAATTATAACTGTACTAATGATGGGCGTATTCATCTTCCATTATTCTATTATCTTCTGATGTACATTTCAGAATAATTTGTCAACTTTATTACAGAAATCATTGGTCAATCAGCAGTCATAGTAACATCGGATATGGTTGGGTAACCAGCCATGGAGTTTAACCTTAAGCTTGGCTAAGTGCCTACCTAAGTCTCCTGACCCAAACTTTACCATCAATATTGTATAGAGGTGAATTAGAATTAACAGTTTCCTAACATTACTGTGAAGATTCTCTGTTCTTTTATCTCTCAGATGTAAGCCCAACGATTTTACCAAAAAAAAGTTAATTAATTAATCAACAGTTCCACTACAGACCAGATTTAAATTAAACTTTACCGCCTTCATAACACTGGAGAAACCACAGGAGCCTGTTACAATGTTTGTGGAGGATAAGGGCTTGTATTGTAGAATGTAACTAGTAAAATGGAACCAACAAAATACCAGAGAGAAATTAAAACCACCCACAGGAAAGTCATCGGTATACTAGTTATAGTATTTCATACAAGCCCTCAACTCCCCAAAACTTTTTAACAGACCCTGTGTACAAAACAAGGTATTCCAGCCCAGGAGGGGTTTTATCCTTAGAGGAAACCCTTGCACTTGTGGTTTGTCAGGTGACCACTTACCTTTACAGGTCAAATTAAGGAATTAAATGCTGGACGTCTATGCAAAAATGCTACCACTGCACACCAACCAAACACCCAATATACTGATCTGACAAATGTAAGATTCTGTTTATCACATAACTTAGATATTTAACATTTTGTTAAACAGATACACAATCTTATTTGACTTCTGTTGATACAATGAGTTCCATTTGCCGTAGGAGTATTACAATAGTTCGTACATCTGTACAAAATGAAGGTTAATTTACTTTTATCATACATCAAGATCATTTTCTGACTGGTGCATCCAATGAAAATAATGCTGCAAGGTATATTATGCTAATTAACAACCACCACAAAATTCACTGGATAACAGGTGGAATATTTTGTAGGAAATAAAATGAAATTTCAAATTTTTTTTTCCATCACATAATGCCAGAAAAGTTACATGTTGATAGTTTTTAACGTCAAAATACGGAGGATTAAAATTAAACAGAGGCTGCCATTTTTAAATTTGTTTTCTGTGGCATTTTCAATTCATGATGTAACATTGTTGTCAACTGATTTCTGGCCGGTGCATCCACTGAAAATCCTCCCTGGGTATATTGCAAAAATATAACATAGGCAAATTTACTGGATAAAAATGGGCAGATTATGTGATCTGTCATTATCTCCTGTATCACATCTACACAATCTGCTGTGGTTTTCTCTGTTCATTTTATTTTAATGATAACTAAAATACAAACTCTCCAGAATAAAGACATTTGAAGCGTTATTAACGCTAAGAGCATAAAATATCATACTTGTATTATCGAGATATCTAAGAAAGGTTTTAAGTTCTTGTTACTTAAGACAGGAGAGGTGAAATCCTGTCTGAATTACACACCAGGTATGGATAACAGGTATGTGACACTGCATAACTGACTCAGCATCAAAATACCTCCCATTACATCATCAGTACAGTCAGTGTTGACACATCTAGAGACACAATACTACTAGTATATCAAATTTACCACAATATTTCGATGATGTACCTGTCCAGTTTTTCATTTTATTTACAAGAACATCACTTGAAATTTAGTAAATTAATGCTTCAATAGTTTAGACAATATAAATCATTTCATGCTTTCTGATATACAGGTTTGCTAGTTCTACATACATTTTACAAATAAAGTTCATTGTAACAGTGAAATTATTTCTACCAATAAAAAGATAAGTTTGTTCTGTTCCAATCTTTCGTATCTTTTTGTTTAGGAAATCATTTTACTGCATAGATCATTTATCTCCAGAGTTAAAACAACTGAAATGTAATTGTATCTATTGCTTTCTGACAACATTATGTTTAATTTAGAAGTACACACCATGATTTCTTTTTCTGCGACAGCAGCTGAAGGCCGTCTGTTTCTGCTGAGGAGAGGCATCGAGGTGTTAGCCATGTTGACAGGAGATTATGTACCCTGGAATAGTGTTGGAGTAGATCTCGTCCCCCAGCCTTATGGAGTAGTACACCCCAGCCTTACGGAGAAATACACAAGTGAAGGCAGGATTTATAGTAATGATAAAGGTTAGGTCACTGATGTCCAACCTAGTCCCTGTCAAGGACAGAAAGTTTCACACACCCGGCAAAACTACTCAGCCGTGTCACACAGTGTATGGTCAGGACTCCAAAGGAAACTTACTAGTAACCCAGGTATGTTGGGTACAGCATTGACACTGTCAGTATACAGCCTCCACAGAGTCAGATGTACAGATTCATACAGATCCTAGTCAACAGAGTGTTTCTTAGGAAAAGCTAGATATCTGTCACAGTATCTTCCAATAAGTGTAGAATGTTGCAATGAGAATCTGTCCAGCTGATTATGACAGGCCAAAGACATTTACAGTAGATAATGTCCTGTGTTTGACCGAGACAAGACTTCTGAATTCACTTAATGTTACAACCTGCACTCAGGAGATGATGGACAACCTGCCTTCTGTTTGGCCTTGGGTGTTGTATGCACCATTTACTTAATACTTACAGGGAGGAATTAATCACAAATCCCAGGTAAGAAAATAATGAAACCATTTCATCATACGAAGGCTGAATGTTCTACGTAGTGAATGTTAGTGTAGATAATCATAAGCTTCCCGATCAAGAGAGCCAGAAGGGAAAATGTGGCACAGCCAGCCAAATTAACGAGAAACACTTTAAGTCTAATAGCATAGAGTACATTACTATTGATCAGATACTCGAAGGAGAGATAACATTTATATACAAACTTATATCAGAATTCATGGATGAACAAGTTTGAATCATGATAGAAAAATACTTGAACATCATGTTTGTAATACCAGGGAAACATTTATGTATATTATGTATGTAAGCTGGAATACTTTTAAAGAAATTCAATATATCATCTTAATGAATCATTTGTAAATTTATAATAACTTATTCCATGGTTTTACTGAAAGTCAATAATGTATATGATGATACATGTATACAAAGATACATACAATTGTGTTGATTTTAAAAGATTCATTCCTGCAGTTTATACCAAATATTGGGGATTCAAGTTATATAATTCCCTATCATTATGCACATTACAAGTGTTTTTAACTTCTCTTCTGCAAAAGGAAAACAACAATCTATGTACCTGTCATGCGAATGTGACCTAAATTTAATGGCGATAAAAAAACCAGTCAACCCAAGATAAGAGTAACCATTTAGCTGAAGTACACACATACCGATATCACTAGAATTTCAATAATGCGCAAAGTATGGTTGTACACTTACCAACATATCTTAACACAGTAATTTTCTACAACACTTAATGTCATGACCTCAAACTATGAAATTCGTATACAAATTGTTCACAAGGTGTAATATCACATTGTATCTTTTCCATACAAAATGTTTGAAGGTCATGACCTCAGACTGTGACATTTATACATTCAAAATGTTTGGAGGTCATGACTTCAGACTGTGACATTTTTATATTCAAAATGTTTGAGAGTAGGGGAAAGCCAACACCGGTCCAATATATAAGTAGGTTCTTCAGCTGGTCTAATTGCTGGAAAATGGATACCTAAAGATATGCACGGAGCCACACAACCGGTAGGCAAATAATGAAAGTTTAATACCTAGTTATTTCATGAAGCTGTTAATGTTGAGCACACCCTTTTCTAATGTCCTTGCATTGGTATAAAAAGTTATGACCTCAGGCTATGCCATATGTATACAAAGTGTCTGAAGGTCATGACCTCAGACTGTGCCATTTGTATACAAAATGTCTGAAGGTCATGACCTCAGACTGTGCCATTTGTATACAAAATGTTTGAAGGTCTTGACCTCAGACTGTGCCATTTGTATACAAAATGTCTGAAGGTCATGACCTCAGACTGTGCCATTTGTATACAAAATGTTTGAAGGTCTTGACCTCAGACTCTGCCATTTGTATACAAAATGTTTGAAGGTCATGACCTCAGACTGTGCCATTTGTATACAAAATGTCTGAAGGTCATGACCTCAGACTCTGCCATTTGTATACAAAATGTTTGAAGGTCATGACTTCAGACTGTGCCATTTGTATACAAAATGTTTGAAGGTCATGACTTCAGACTGTGCCATTTGTATACAAAATGTTTGAAGGTCATGACTTCACACTGTGCCATTTGTATACAAAATGTTTGAAGGTCATGACTTCAGACTCTGCCATTTGTATACAAAATGTCTGATGGTCATGACCTCAGACTGTGCCATTTGTATACAAAATGTCTAAAGGTCATGACCTCAGACTCTGCCATTTGTATACAAAATGTTTGAAGGTCTTGACCTCAGCCTGTGCCATTTGTATACAAAATGTCTGAAGGTCATGACCTCACACTCTGCCATTTGTATACAAAATGTTTGAAGGTCTTGACCTCAGACTCTGCCATTTGTATACAAAATGTTTGAAGGTCATGACCTCAGACTGTGCTATTTGTATACAAAATGTTTGAAGGTCATGACCTCAGACTGTGCCATTTGTATACAAAATGTTTGAAGGTCATGACTTCAGACTGTGCCATTTGTATACAAAATGTTTGAAGGTCTTGACCTCAGACTGTGCCATTTGTATACAAAATGTTTGAAGGTCTTGACCTCAGACTGTGCCTTTTGTACCAAAAGTTAAAGCATTTAATCTAGACTGCCATTTTTATATTCAAAATAGTTAAGGTCATGACCTCAGGTTTGGTTTTAGTTTGGTTATATATTTGCCATCCAATTAACAGCTATGGTCAATTCTGAATTTACTTTAAAATCATGTCTAATAATATGAATAACTGTTTTATATGTTGTAATGAATAAGTTTATTTACGAAAATTATTATCATAACCATTGAAGTTTGGAATTACATTTCTGTGCAGAGTAATTATTTTGGTGAACGTCATCAGGCAAAATTCACCATAATGACAGATTAACAAAATAATTGAACACCAAACTGCTGAAGATTTGATTGTCTGATAATCAATCAATGTCCCAGAATAAGTAGAATACATGGTCAGTATCTTAACATATAAGCTGCATTTTGGCTTAGGACAAAAAGGCAAACCTTGCTCACCAGAGACTCACCAGAGGCTCACCACTTTTGTCTTTCTTCACCCTCACCCAAATGAAGCTTAAATGTTAGGACACTGACCATGTATTCTCTATGTATTGAGTGTGTGTGGTCATCACATCATGCAAGCCTCCTTGCAAAAGTGGGGAAATGAACTGAGGCGGTATTTCAGTACTACCCCGATGATTTATACAGAAAAAGACCCCAGCAAGATACCCTACTCTGTCATGATATAGGGGAACGAGTGAACACTACCAAGCATTAGAAAGAAAGTACTATTTGTGCAACTTGTATCAAAGTCATGAACTAAAAACCATTTGTATTGTTAAGAATGATAATTTTACAGAAAGTAGATTAAATCATTAGTATATAAGATAAGGTCGACCTAAATGGCTTTATGACAGATATCTTAATGAGAGAAATAAATTCAGTACAAGTGAAGTAAATTACAGTCATTCATTTGAACAAAGCTTTTCACCCCATTAAGGTACAGGTGGATAAGCCAGATATGTTGACTGAACACTTTATTTCTTGCAAAGAAATCTCGTATGTGACACATACATCCTCATACATTTCAAAGGGAATCCATGTAAAGTTATTATTTTTCATTTATGGTCACATAATATTTCATGAATTTTTTTTAATTACAGATTATGCATCTACAGGCCAAAGTAAGGTGAAAATGGATAACAACAGACACAAAATCATCACAATGTGAGTTAAGATATGGTAGAGGCATAGGAAACAAGTCACAAAAAGGTGAGACAATTTAATAACTATAAGATAGTCAGACGAGATCCTAACATGAGAAATGAGAAAGGTGTATGTCATTTAATCTCAGAAAGGAGAGATAATTGAGTAAGTAAGAGACTGTAAAAAGTAGGAATGAGACCCTTAAATGAGACATGAGAAAGGTGTATGTAATTCAGATAAATTTAAGGAATGTTAGGCAGTTACACTAAACATACAATCAAATTAAGCACATTAGTTATTTTCAGCATGTTTAAATAAATGCAATATATACAGAAACTGTAATTGGTGTTACTTTTTCAGAGCTATACTTTCAGTGCTATCATCAAATTTCTGCTTAAATATAGATATACATTTACAATGAAAGAAAGTTAAGATAGGTACAAGAAAGACAAGATTTGGGCTGTAATGATACATTTTCTCAAGACATAATACCAATCTCAACATATACATGATGTGGAAACAAAGAGCAGAATTAGAGGCAACAAGTTGAAATGAGTTGGTGAGGAGATCTCCGTAATCTCATATGTGTACCTGGAAAAAAGATAAGACAGGTGTGAGAATGGTGAGACAAACGAGTGAAATACAAGAAAGATAAGACAGGTGTGAGAAAGGTGAGACAAACGAGTGAAATACAAGAAAGATAAGACAGGTGTGAGAAAGGTGAGACAAACGAGTGAAATACAAGAAAGATAAGACAGGTGTGAGAAAGGTGAGACAAACGAGTTAAATACAAGAAAGATAAGACAGGTGTGAGAAAGGTGAGACAAACGAGTGAAATACAAGAAAGATAAGACAGGTGTGAGAAAGGTGAGACAAATGAGTGAAATACAAGAAAGATAAGACAGGTGTGAGAAAGGTGAGACAAACGAGTGAAATACAAGAAAGATAAGACAGGTGTGAGAAAGGTGAGACAAATGAGTGAAATACAAGAAAGATAAGACAGGTGTGAGAAAGGTGAGACAAACGAGTGAAATACAAGAAAGATAAGACAGGTGTGAGAAAGGTGAGGCAAATGAGTGAAATACAAGAAAGATAAGACAGGTGTGAGAAAGGTGAGATAAGAATGGTGAGACATATATAAGAAAAGTGAAACAAATACGGTATAAAAAAATGAGAGAATTTCAGGTATGTTAGAATGAGACAGGTATTATAATGTGATATAGATGTAAGAGAGGTATATATAAGATCAATATATATATAAGAAGGTGATACAGGTGTTATAAATGTGTCAGAAATTTCAGTTCAGTATATAGATAGATATATATAAGAAGGTGATACAGGTGTTATAAATGTGTCAGAAATTTCAGTTCAGTATATAGATATATATATATAAGAAGGTGATACAGGTGTTATAAATGTGTCAGAAATTTCAGTTCAGTATATAGATAGATATATATATAAGAAGGTGATACAGGTGTTATAAATGTGTCAGAAATTTCAGTTCAGTATATAGATAGATATATATAAGAAGGTGATACAGGTGTTATAAATGTGTCAGAAATTTCAGTTCAGTATATAGACAGATATATATAAGAAGGTGATACAGGTGTTATAAATGTGTCAGAAATTTCAGTTCAGTATATAGATATATATATATAAGAAGGTGATACAGGTGTTATAAATGTGTCAGAAATTTCAGTTCAGTATATAGATAGATATATATATAAGAAGGTGATACAGGTGTTATAAATGTGTCAGAAATTTCAGTTCAGTATATAGATAGATATATATAAGAAGGTGATACAGGTGTTATAAATGTGTCAGAAATTTCAGTTCAGTATATAGATAGATATATATAAGAAGGTGATACAGGTGTTATAAATGTGTCAGAAATTTCAGTTCAGTATATAGATAGATATATATAAGAAGGTGATACAGGTGTTATAAATGTGTCAGAAATTTCAGTTCAGTATATAGATAGATATATATAAGAAGGTGATACAGGTGTTATAAATGTGTCAGAAATTTCATTTCAGTATATAGATAGATATATATAAGAAGGTGATACAGGTGTTATAAATGTGTCAGAAATTTCAGTTCAGTATATAGATAGATATATATAAGAAGGTGATACAGGTGTTATAAATGTGTCAGAAATTTCAGTTCAGTATATAGATAGATATATATAAGAATGTGATACAGGTGTTATAAATGTGTCAGAAATTTCAGTTCAGTATATAGATAGATATATATAAGAAGGTGATACAGGTGTTATAAATGTGTCAGAAATTTCAGTTCAGTATATAGATAGATATATATATAAGAAGGTGATACAGGTGTTATAAATGTGTCAGAAATTTCAGTTCAGTATATAGATAGATATATATATAAGAAGGTGATACAGGTGTTATAAATGTGTCAGAAATTTCAGTTCAGTATATAGATAGATAAATATATAAGAAGGTGATACAGGTGTTATAAATGTGTCAGAAATTTCAGTTCAGTATATAGATAGATATATATCAGAAGGTGATACAGGTGTTATAAATGTGTCAGAAATTTCAGTTCAGTATATAGATAGATATATATAAGAAGGTGATACAGGTGTTATAAATGTGTCAGAAATTTCAGTTCAGTATATAGATAGATATATATAAGAAGGTGATACAGGTGTTATAAATGTGTCAGAAATTTCAGTTCAGTATATAGATAGATATATATAAGAAGGTGATACAGGTGTTATAAATGTGTCAGAAATTTCAGTTCAGTATATAGATAGATATATATAAGAAGGCAAAGTGCACTCTCAACTGACATTGATTCATGACATGTTTCAGCCATTAAAGTTAATAAAGTGTCTCTGAAGAAATCGGTTTTTAGTGATTCATGTGAATACACAATGTATGGTGTTTTCACTGTATCCTAATGGTCCTATGTCATGATCATAGGCTTCTTACTTGATACTATTTTACTCCCATGACGTTGGAAGTGTGTCACTGACATTCCTTCATTCCACCAAGTTACAATGACTCTGGGCAGTTTGCTTTTATTGATTCAGACATTTTTAAGTAACCTGAATCTGTGACCTTGACTCAATCACAGTAATTTATCTTAAAACCTATAACAAAATGAAACCCAAACTTTCCCAGTGCTACTGGCCTTTGCATACTTGCCAATACCATATTACTGGGCTGTCACTGACAAGACATTATTTAACAAAAGAGTTTATACCCAATGGTTAACAAAGGTCACTGCACCAAGACATAAGTTACATCTTACCCTTCCGGCATACAAGTTTAAAATTGGCACCATTCAGTATAAAATTTTGATTGACTTTTAATTTTTGCCTCTTGGCATGATTCTTATAGTATCCAATGATTTGTATACTTAATACATGACTGGATGTTTTGATTTTCTATGAACGTTCTGATGTAATATCAATAGTCATCAAGCTTAACTTAATTTTCAGTCCTGGTTTAAACCAACTTCGCTGCAAATGTCTTCACATTTTTTTTAATGTTGCAAGGGAGGTAACTCCTACATAGATTCCGTCCTCATTCATCAAAACCAGGTGTTCATAGTACACTCCCAGTACATTTGCAGCAATAAGAATTTAATAATTCAAACTTCAGAAAGTAACTTGGTGCACATCTTTAAGGCCAGCAAAATTAAATTTGTGTTTTCTATTTTTCATCCAACTTGGCTTGTTTTTAAGCCAAACATCAAATTTCTGATTACTTATTTCAACCTATATTAAAACAAAATAAAACACTGAACTTGGTAAAATTGCCTTTTCCACACAAACCAAACTGAACACCTATCCACCTTATTTAATAAGTCATTTAAGAGAATATTCCACATTTTTTTCTTTTTTATCAGCATCCATATTTTATCACAGAAAAAATATATATCTAGCTATGATTTTCTCCCTACAAGTCAAAAGACAAATGACACACATTTTTCTGAATTGTCCCATTAAAATTCAAAACTTAACATGCTCTATATCGCAAATGTCATGTAATGTGCTTGCTCTTCGTTAGAAAATGTCCTGAGGTTTTAAAACATAGATAAATCAATGCTTAAAACTTAAAACTGGAGAAACTGCCTCAGTAGATGTTTCATGTTCTCCTTTGATATCACTATCATATGGAGACCAACATCTATTACAACAACTAGACTTAAATTGGTGTTTGTAGGAACTGTTTGACAGTTGTAATGTACAGGAAGCTGTCACTCTATAGTGTATCACCTTGACACGACATTGTGGTATACCTAAATGTCTGCTGAAGGTGAAATTATTACAACAAAGCCATTTATCTCTGACAGATTTATCATCACACAAGTCTCAAGTGCTTCTCACCTAAACTCCTTATTCATATGTCTCATACCTTGGCCCTCGGGATATGTCATAAATATGTGACAATGTTTAACTGTTAGGGCCTACTCAGGAAAGATCTTTCCTTGTCTAAGTTTAGTTTTGACTCACTAATATGCTGATCATTGTTCCTACTATAAATTACATTACATTTCAAAAGATTTCATTAATAATATACTGTGTATATGATTATTTGTAATAACTTTCTTCATTTGATTTCATATTTTTCTTTCAAGAAAATTTCATTTATTGTTACCGTATTTTCCCCCTCATATTGCTTTAGATGGTTGGATTCCTGCATGGTGTTAAGTTAAGGAAGCCTCACCTCAGAATTAACATGGCTGTTCATGAGGTGATAAACACAACAAACAAATTGCCAAAGGTTATAAACAAGGGAAACCAGCTGATTTGTGATTAAGTAAGTGTGAATGTTGAATAGTTAGATATATCTAGCATCTAAACCAACAAAAAGATTATGTTTCAAACTATCCAGAGTCATGCCAGAAAAAACGTAGGTAGATAGTTAAACATTAATCATTTCAATTTTCATCAATAAAGATATGGTTTCAAAATTCACACCAATGTATTTGTTCACATGACTAGACTATACATGTAAACTTTCAGGAATTGGGACAGTCTGACACAACAGACAGAAACTTACAGTTATTCCTGATAAGCTATATTAAGATATCTCTAATGAGTAAGCTTTACCTAGCTAGTATATATTTGATATAAAATTCTACCACTTAGCAAAAAGTGTTCACATGATTTTTTTTCTACAAAGAAGTATATCTAACAGCCTTATTCTGCAAATAATTTTTTTTTGTTTTTTGTTTTTGTTTTTTTTAATTGACAGAAACATAATACCAGGTAATGATTAATGGGAGATAATCCATTATAGTTTACAGATGCAATATAGTGCCCTGATTAAACCATTATCTGGGCATTTAAATTTTCATAAACAATCACTACAACCTTTAAGTATTTCATTGAAACATTCAAAAAGGAAACAAAGTCAATACTATTTTTATGATATACCTGTCCACTACTTTTTTTGCTTCCCCATCCCACCTACACCCCGCACCACACCAGCTTGTTAAGAGATTGAATAGTTCTCATTAATTAATCTGTCTACTCAATTAAATAAATGTTCCAAAATTTTATTTGTTTCATATCTTTTATCAACATTTTCAGTTATAAACTATTATACCCCAAAAAAAGAAATAAGCCCAGTATAATTATACCTTAGCAGAACAAAGCAGTCAGTGTTTCCCCTGTCTATATATTTGGGTCAGCAGGTGGTAACATGCATGTTGTTTACTTTTCCCAATGAAGTCACATAAAATTCCCTAAATCTCTAATTCTGGTATTTCTTATGTGAGGACACAAACTCCACCAATTCATGATTTCATTTTCCCTTAATTATCTACTTTCCAAATTCAAAAATATTTGCAAATTCTGTCAGGTGGCAATTTCCAAAAAGGGCAAAAAATGACATTGGCAGTTTAAGTAAAATTGTAAAGAGAAAACATTATTTCAAACTTTTTTAAATTTCATTATGAATGTGTTTTGGTAAAGTGGTTCTACCAACATATTTTAAGCAAGATTCACCAAATTATACACATAAATATAAGCAGACATATTATCTCACTTTCATTAAATCTACCTTAATTTAAGTGAAATTGTACACATATATATAATTACGAATGCATATCAGGGTCATTATGAAAATTACTGTATCTGGTATGTACAACTTTGTATTTTGTAAGATAAGGACTTTCAAATAATCTTCAAAATCAAAATATGCAGCCACATACATATGTCCCCCGTTTGTACTTCTTTTTATTGTTACATAAATGTTTTCTCGTATAAAGGGATAAATTTTCAGTTCAGCATTAGCAAAATCCACAACAACATGACACTGTTCACAAATAGTCATAAAATACTATTTTGAAAGGCATAACCCCTAACAGAATGAAGGATATATACTAGTGCACTATCAAAGAACAGAGAC